TGAGAGATGGAGGCACTACGGTAGAAGCAGTTGAGACTGGTCGCTTTGGTGTATTTGTTTTGCCTGGGTGCCCCTGCTTTTGTGTTATTCGTGTGCAGGACAGACCACATGGCCATAGCTGCTGTAGTATCCGAGGGGGCCAGTATTTGTTGAGTGTGGCATACCGCAGGAGTATGATGGGTAGAGGCATTGAGTGGTGAAGAAGTGATTGATGCACTGAGTATGGGTCAACATTTCTATGATGGTAGCCGGGTTCGCAGGGGCGAGAGCAGCGGAGCTCCAAGGAAGGATGAGGATGCGACGGTTTTCAGGGATGGCGCATATGGGTATGGACCTCGATGGCCGATCTGCAAAGTACGGCTCTTCGGGGGCAGGCCAATTGCTGTTGCCGCATACGTTTTGCTTTTTGTGCCCCATTTGTTGTATTTGATAAGAGGTTTCCAGACGTTTGACGTTTGATTCGTTTTTTTTCAGCACAAGCTTGCATCACGGGTGGCCGCTCGTGGAAGTGCCGAGGGGTCGCCGAGGAGTCGTGCAGTTTGTGTGCGCACGTCTACGACCTTGCTGTTCCGAACCCTGCTTTGGCGCTGCGATCACGAGTTGTTCTCGTCAGGGAACAACTCGCGATCGCAGACATGCACGTACCTAGAAGCGTAAGCGCACGTCTGCAAATCAATGGAGTTGCAGTGCAGCAAGTTTTAAGAGTTTGTTTTGGCCTTGCAGTGGTCTTCGCTTTCATGTAGTGGACCAGAATGCTTTGGCATTACGGCGTTCATTTGCGTGACATATCCTGGGAGGCATGTGCTTATTCTTTGCGTACAGTTGCTAAGCTGTTTGCCGGGACGGGGTATGTGCAATTCATGGACGTCATATATTTTCGAGCGCACTCGGCAGCTCACGGCAAAGCGCTCATATCACCACACTGCAAAATGCAAGGGCGACGGGAGGCAAGCGGTCGGTCACCATGCGCATGATGCTTCCTGCACGTCCTGAACACTTTTGACAGCCGTTAGGTTGTCAACAAGGTGCGAGTCGGCGTGAGCTCCCCGTACATCAGCCTGCAACTTTTCGCAGTTAGCATGACGCTTGTGGTTGGTCGAGTTGCGCTGGCCGAGCTCAGCTCAAACTGCCGAAAGGCGTGTACGCACTATTTGGCAAGAGGATGAGGGATACGCATGTTTAGTTGTTGTCGGATTAAGGAGTTTGCTTTCGTTCATGTATTTGCCCCGCTGTGGACATACCTCTTCTGGCGTTGCGATGCCACGGCACTTTGCCCAGAAAGTACGGGATTAGAAGGAAGTTCATTTGTTTGGCGCGGGCGTGGGCTTGTTTACATTGTAGGTTTTCTGATGGGAGGCATGGATGTGCATGCGCATGCATGGAACGCTCTGGAGATGCAGTGTGA